TTCCTGCTGGATTTGAAGGTATTAACAAGTCCCTATCAACATTCTCTAAAGGTTTTTGATGTCATTTTAGCTATTGAACTAAAATATGTGAACTATTACTTTGTTGATTTTCTTCTTAAACCAAACTGCATTATCATCTGAGAGTGTGTTCTTAAAGTATTGTTAAAAGTACTTTGAAAACTTGTAAATCCCTGTAATTTATGTTTCTCCTGCCTCTGCTGTTTCATTCTGTCCTTCTGGTTTTAATTTGAATGCAGTCCTGTCTGGGTGTGTACCTGTAAAACTGTATTTTTCCAAGTACAATTTACGGTCTTGACCTTAGATTTTACAGTGTTCCTAACCTTCCGTGAGCTTCCTCCTATACCAAGAAGTGGGCTTTGGGTCACCCAGCTCTTTTATATTAGAACAGTCTAATCAAGGTTACTTGAAACAGATCTGATTTTGACATTTCTTAGTTTATCATGTAGGCCTAGGGAGTAAGTTAGGAGGGCTTCCCTGCAAGCCCATTAATTGCATTGCCCCATTTCTTAAAATGTACACAGTTGTAAACCTAGACTGCTTCAAGACAACAGTCTCATTTATCTAAACAATTCTCCTTTTAGACTCAGTGGCACTGATGGAAACATAGATAAGCTGTATGGATCGGAGGAAGGAACTTTTGGAGCCTGTGTTTGCTGAAACTGTTCCCATTCCCTTTACAATCCCCTTTTCTTTCCAAGGGTTTGTCTGCATACAGAATAGGTCTATCTGTGTTCAATATATTCCGTGAGCTAGGTTAGTGGGCAGGACTATAGGAAAGGGTATCTTTCTTGTGAGTGAGCTCTTTGCAGGTTTTAAGGAATATGGCTGTTTTGCTTTAAGGGGAAGAGTGAAGGGTGGGGCACTCTGTTAAAGCAGTGTGTATCCCAAACCCATTTCACAGGCACCCTCTCTCCATGATAAATGCATGATTCCTCGTGGATTATAAGAATTTTTAAATGGGTGCAGAACTTTTGGAATCTTTTCCTTAAGTTAGGAAATGAGGTTTCTTTCTTTTCTGCTCCTTTCAAATATCACTTAAGTTTGAGATTTCTTTCTTTTCTGCTCCTTTCAAATATCACTTAAGTTAAGCTCTGGTAAGGAGTTTAGGAGTCTTTTTCTTTCCTCCTTACACTTATTCAGCATGTTCTCCATGGTTCTTACTGGCACTACTGGCTGGGGAAGGGGGACCCAGGGCAGGCAGGCCGGGGCTTTTTGGCAGCTGACCTGGGGTTCCTCCTCTGTTTCAGGTCATCGTGCAGTCTGGCCGCCACCCCACGGTGCTGCAGAAGCTTTGCCAGTTGCCCTTCCAGTATTTCAGTGACCCACGGCTGATCAAAGTGCTGTTCCCTTCACTTATCGCTGCTTGTTACAACAATCTTCAGAACAAGATCATTCTGGAGCAGGAGATGAGCTGTGTTCTACTGGCCACGTTCATTCAGGTACCTTCTGTGTTATGCCTAATTCTCTGGCTCTGTGTGTAAGCTAATGCAATTGAAAAGTAAAAGTGAACCAGCTGTTTATTCTTGCCATCCACACTACCTTTTTAAAATTTCACATATTTCTGTGCTTGAAATTAATTTCTAAAATATCATGATCGTAAAACTGGGGTTTGGGTGTTGTATCATTTCTACTTGGAGGATTTCAAGAAAAGGGTATATTTCCAGTTAATGAAATGGTAAGCCTGCACTAAGGAAATGTTTTCTAAAAGACTTCTTTAAGGCTTTAACTGTTAATTCATCTTGCTTTTTGTCTATTTATAGGGAAAAGATAATGATTGCTGAAGAAAGATCAATTAAAATGTCAGTTTATTTGTAAATTTTTAAATAAATATTTAAAATAAATTTTTAAATAAATAAATACACACACACAGCCTGTGTGTGTATAATAAAAATCTGTTATGTTGCTTTTTCTTAAATCTAAAACTTTTAAGTATGGCCTTATATTTTTCTGATCCAGTTAAATTCTGTAGGACTGGAATCAGAATCTTCCATTTTCCTTCAAATTTTCCACCCTAAAACCAATCTGTTTTTGTTCTATGATGCACATGTGATTAATAGACAGTGTTTTCTGTTCATAATAATGAAACAGAAAGCAGAGCTCTGTATTGTATTGTTCCTTATTCTGGCTAATATACGAGTATCACTTTGGAAAGGGTGTAACTGTGCGCAGCTGGCTGGGATGGCTAAAGAGTCCCCCAAGCCTTCTTCACCTTAGATGGCAATTAGTGGTTTACATTTCTCAAACTATCCTCTATTAGATGATCAGTTAATAAACATACTAGATCAATTGTTTAGAAATGTTTTATTTTCAGCTTAGTTGTTCTGTTTGAGTCTGGATTCCAATTTCTGAAAAATTTTTCAAAGATATTCAGATCTATAGGTAGGGTACAGATTTTTCGAAGAACATCTTGTGATTAATAATTAAAGTCTTAATGAATTTTTATATAAACATCGTAATTAACATTTAGGATTTTTCAGATATTCTTACAGCCTTAGGATTAAATTTAAACAGAAAATATGTTATAGAGAATTTTAAGACTGTGATCTTAAAATTCATTCTTTCTTTCATTCAACGGGTAATCTTTTAGTGCCCTCGGTGTGCTGGGCACTGCTCTAGGCAGTGGAAATACAGCAGCAAATAACACAGATACAAATTTCTTCCTTTAAAGGTCTTTCATTAGAATGAGGGGAGTCAAAACAAAAAACAAATAAATAAGTAAAATAAATAGCATGTCAGATGGTATTAAGTGCTGTGGAGAAAAGTAAGGCAAGAAAGGGGGACAGGGACTGCCAGGGAGGTGATATGCAGTTTTTCATGGCATGAGCAGAGAGGCCTCAACCAGGACAGTGATTGTTGAACCAAGAGAGTGATTGTTGAGCAAAGACAATTTTGCATCTGTACCAACTTAGTCCCTTACATTTTCAACTGCTTGGAAAACAATTTATAAAACTATAAATGGTATCAGAATCTAAAGTAAGGACCATATATATTATTTTCATCTGGGGTTGATCTCGGAGTACTTCTAATTCAACTCTTCTCCATTACAGTTAACACACAATTAAATGTAATTGAATGTAAATGTAACACATTTAACATACATTTTGTTTTAGCACACGGATTTTATAAATACTACAGAAATCTCTTATAATGCTTATTTGGGATAGCACTTTAGATTGCTGGAGTTAAATCAAGTTTGGTTTTTTTCTATAAATAACTGTGCTCAAGGGAATGAAAATACATTGGATTTTAGTTTATAAAATGGTTCTTCAAGGTCCCCTGTGTTAGATGATTAATAGCTACTAGAAAATTATATTAAAAATAAGAGCTAGTAGTTTGTCCTAGGTTCCTGAAACTTTACATATTATAGATGACATTTTTCATGTTCCATCTAAGAGTAAAATTACTAGACTTTAAGATTTAGCTGCAGAATGGATGGACCTAAAGAGTATTATGCTACATGAAATAAGTCAGACAGAGAAAGGCAATTTTACCATATGGTTTCACTTATATGTGGAATATAAAAAACAAGCAAACATAACAAAACAGAAACAGACTCATAGATACAGAGAACACACTGGTGGTTGGGAAAGAGGCATGGGGAGGTGGGAGGTGGGCAAAATAGGTGAAGGGAATTAAGAGGTACAGACTTGCAACTATAAAATAAATGTCATGGGAACATAATGTACAGCATAGGAAATATAGGAATATAGGAATAATATAATAACTTTGTATGGTGACAGATGATAACTAGACATATCATGGTGACCATTTTGGAATGTATATGAATACAGAATCACTATGATGAACACCTGAAACTTATATGATACTGTATGTCAATTATACTTCAATTAAAAAAAGATATAGCTGCAGAATACGTTAAGGGCTTTTATAGTTGTGCTTTTTAAAATTTAAAAATCTGTCAATATTTTAAGACAGTATTTGGCTAAAGAATTCAGTTTGTTAGATATAAAACAAAGTTGTACTTTCCACAGGACGCAACAACCTGGCCCCTGGTGATACTTAGCAAGATTTGAGTCATCATTATTTGATTTAAACGTATGAGAACCTGAAGTACATAATGTCAGTTTCTTCAGCTTTTATATTTGGGCTCCAAACTGTTCATGCAAAAGTAGTTGCCTCAGGGTGTGGAGAAAAGGGAACCCTCTTACACTGTTGGTGGGAATGTAAATTGATACAGCCACTATGGAGAACAGTATGGAGGTTCCTTAAAAAACTAAAAATAGAACTACCATATGACCCAGCAGAACTACCATATGTCCCACTACTGGGCATATACCCTGAGAAAACCATAATTCAAAAAGAGACATGTACCAAAATGTTCATTGCAGCACTATTTACAATAGCCAGGACATGGAACCAACCTAAGTGTCCATTGAAAGATGAATGGGTAAAGAAGATGTGGCACATATATACAATGGACTATTACTCAGCCATAAAAAGAAACGAAAATGAGTTACTTGTAGTAAGGTGGATGGACCTAGAGCCTGTCATACAGAGTGAAGGAGGTCAGAAAGAGAAAAACAATACCGTATGCTAACACATATATATGGAATCTAAAAAAAAAAAACGGTTCTGATGAACCTAGGGGCAGGACAGGAATAAAGATGGAGACATAGAGAATGGACTTGAGGACACAGGGAGGGGGAAGGGTAAGCTGGGACAAAGTGAGAGAGTAGCATTGACATATATACACTACCAAATGTAAAATAGATTGCTAGTGGGAAGCAGCTGCATAATACAGGGAGATCAGCTCAGTGCTTTGTGACCACCTAGAGCGGGGCGGATAGGGAGGGTGGGAGGGAGGGGATATGGGGATATATGTATACATATAGCTGATACACTTTGTTATACAGCAGAAATTAACACAACACTGTAAAGCAATCATACTCCAATAAAGATGTTAAAAAAGGGCTTCCCTGGTGGCGCAGTGGTTGAGAGTCCTCCTGCCGATGCAGGGGACACGGGTTCGTGCCCCAGTCAGGGAAGATCCCACATGCTGCGGAGCGGCTGGGCCCGTAAGCCGTGGCCGCTGGGCCTGCGTGTCCGGAGCCTGTGCTCCGCTACAGCAGAGGCCACAACAGTAAGAGGCCCGCGTACCACAAAAAAAAAAAAAAAAAAAAAAAGTTAAAAAAAAATAGTTGCCTCAGAATTCAGAAGCATTTTTAAAGCCGCGCTCAGCAAAATTCTCTGTCTGTAGCATTGGTATTAAAAAAAACACTTTTCTCGTTTCACACAGGATTTTGCACAGACTCCAGGTCAGGCAGATACCCAGTCTTATCAGCCCGAAGGTACGTCTCTATTGAAATTAAATGTCATGTGTTTGTTAGCTGGACACTTCTCACTCAACTCTCTGAAACTGTTAGAGAAATCAATTTATTACATCACCTAAAATATTTGAGATTCGGATACCAAATATATTTCAGGTAATAAAGAAATTGATTTTGTCATCAAGCATGAGTACATCAGAATATACAGAGAAATCTATGGAAGTAAAAGAAAACCACAAAACGTCTTTATGTAATTTATACTCACCTGATGCAAGGTATAATAAATGGCGAATAATTACTAAAGAGCTACTTTGCAATACAAGAGACAATCAGATCATTAATATTGGCCTACATTATCACATAAATGCTGAAATCACATACATTTGGTTCCATGTTCAGAATAAAATCGTCATTGATAGTAGCCCATACATCCCCCTAAATTCAAGTACTTGAATTTTTTATTGAAAATAAAAGTGTAAAATTGTTCTACATGACGAAAAAGCCATCAGATGAGCACAGCACAGTTCAGGGGCCAAAAGATTTACAAGGTTTTTTT